TCCTCATGACACTCAACTGAGCCGTTCGAGCTCACTCCCCCTAAAGTTCGATTATAAGCAAACGAGGGAAATGACCAGGTAAGCCGCCCGCCTCCTCTACCTCCTTCCTCCTCTTCATCTATTTCCTTTATCACACTCTTTCGGTCTTTCAGGCACCGATAGTCTCTCGCTCGTTTTCTCTATTGAGTTTAAATGAGGGGTCAAGGGGATAGACGTAAATTTAACTCTCCAATGAGCGGTGAGCTCCTTGTTCAAACGACACCTACATAACATATATCATGAACCGTTAAAATGTTTTTTTTTAATTCAGATATTACTTTTTTTATTATTCTTATTGTTACAATTTGGTAGTAGGAAAGAAAATTATTGGGTTATAAGGAATGCTAGGGAACCCTAGGATAGGACCAGGGTTAGACTAGCTCTGATACCAAATGATATCAGAGGTAATCCAAACCACAATGAAAACAAAAATCTTACTACTAAAGTTCAAAGCTTACAACGAAAACTCTTCAAAAATCTAAGAAATAAACGACAATAAACATAAAAAGGACAACCTGGGGCTTTGGCAAAGGGATGAGTGGTGGCTGGCCGAAAAGGGAATAGTGCACGTGGGGGTTCGGCAGCAGCGGGAGGGCAAGTCGAGGATGACAGCGAGAATAAGAGGGTTGGATATGAGTCTACAGCAGCAGATTTGTGTTGGAATGGATTGCAAATAGTTAATGTTGAAGAACAACACTAGGAAATAAGCAGAGAAGAAGTATTGTTGAATGCTAGGTTTTGCTAATTTGGCTAGAATATGGCTCTATCAAGGTCTTACAAGGAATAAAGCATAATTTGATCCTTCCACATTCAGGTTCACGCCCAAATATCCACTTGGCCCCACAAGCTGCCTAGGGTGCCGACCTTCCTAAAGACAACCATGTATACGAGGGAAAATTGGGAAGTTAATTAATAGTAATTATTCAAAAATTAGAACAAAAATTTTCAATTTTGCATACGGCAGAAGCAAAATACTTTTATGGTGAACTTAGATGACTATTTATTATTATTATTATTCAAGGGTAATCCTTCCTCACAATGAATGTCGGTGATGAGACCAACAATGGCATGTCACAACTCGCAATGAGTTCTAGCGATGAGACCAACTGAGAAATGCAACTAACTTCTTGTTTGCAAGTTTGATGCAAACAGCCATGCCCACACTTCTCTACAAATGAAATGAGGTCTCAAGGAAGCCAGTATTAGGTCTCCATCTGACATCCATAAGATGCCATAAAAAACGTTATAATCTCTCCTTGGATATAAATCAAAGATCAATGGAATCAAACTCTGGCGAACCAAAAATCGATTGAAAGCAGGGTCTTTAATAGCGGCTGACCTTGTTATTTGTGTATGGTGGTTTGTGTGCCTCTTCATTCATTGGTCCTCTATTTACCTGTGTATTAAGTTTCAAAACCAAAAAAGATTGTGAAACCGATGTGGTGTGATGTGAATAAAAACAAAGGTGCAATGCGATTCATGTGTGGCTATGGGTGATATTGGTAAAAATGGTTGAGTGAGCAAACCACAAATCATAACTCCAATGAAGCTTATATCATGTAAAAGGATGAAGGCAGGACAAGTGCCGCGCGAGGGGGCGGTGTGGATTGAGAGAAAAGGAACAACTACAACAACAACAAAGCCTTAATCCCACTACGTGGGGTCGGCTACATGAATCATTTTTCTCCATTGCGTCCTATTTAGTGTCATCAAGATCATTTTTAATACAATAAGCCCTAGTCTTCCCAGGTCTACCTCTGTCTTTCTTAACACAAGTCGAATCTAAAACATCTACTCTCCTAACTGGATCATCAGATGGTTGACGTTTAATGTGACCAAACCATCTAAGACGACTTTCTGTAATTTTATCTGTCACAGGAGCTACACCAACCTTATCACGGATATATTCATTTCGCATTTTGTCCCTAAGTGTAAAGCCACTCATCCACCTAATCATTCTCATCTCAGCAACACTTAACTTATTATTATGCTTCTCTTTTAAAGGCCAACATTCAACGCCATAGAGCATTGCAG